TCGAATTATAGAGATAAACTTTATCAGTTACATTAAGATAAATACACTCAAGCTTATGTGACAAAATACCAGAGTAAACAATGGAGGAGGGAAAGATCACTTTGGCTTTTGATTTTAGAGGTTTCATCTGTAGCTGCTTGGCTCCATTGTTCTGGCTGGGTTGAGGCAGAGTGGCCTGGAGGGGAAGGGAAGGGGCAAAACTGGCCACCTCACACTGGCCAAAAAGAGGGGGTGGGGTTGGCAAGATCATCCCTGTGACCTTGCTTTCTTCTTCCTTCCTCGGGGTCCTACCTCCTGATGGCCGTGTGACCGCCTAGTCATGTCACAGCCTGGTGACGAGGCCATCGGCGACAGTTAAGACATGAACCGTCACAACGCAACTAAATGTTAACTGTCATTATGTGTGCATATGCACATGTGTGTGGAAAACTGTGACCATCGGCTAGTTCAGATAGGCCCATAGAATCTTGGGAAATACAAGAAAACACCATTTAAAATCTAATATTCTAAAATGAATGCAGATTAAAGAATATGGAATGAATCTGAATGGTATTGTTGTTTTCATAAGTAAGATTAATGTATTATTTTAACATTGGAATATTTCAAATATGGGCAGGGAGTATTGAATATTTTAGCTGAAATAATCAGCTAATTTGCATCATAAGTCTACTATAAATTTAAAAAGCATTCATTGTAAACTCTCAGCTAATGAAGATAGACCACCTTGTGATTAATAGGCGTTGAGAGCTTGAAATGAGCATTTTTTGGAGGTTGCTCAGTGAGACAATTCAGGCTCTGCTGCTTAAGATATTTCCTGTCTGTAATCTGTTTCTTTACCAGATCCTAACTACTAATTAATCATCATAAAGCCATTATCCCTTAAGTGTTCCCACACTATCTCAATGTAACAGAACAGTGATATGCATTCTGTCACCATCAGCATTTGCATAAACATTAACGTGTTAGTGAAAAGAGGAAAACACTAAAATCATGATTGATTTTAAAATAAGTAACAAAGCCCAAAATACAAATGTTATTGGGAATTTGGGGATGTTCATTTGGGGTGTCTCATGTTGTTGAGAAAATTTTTGAATCACTGTCCAAGGTTTTGAATTTTGTTAAAAAAATAATTTAAGAATGCACTCAGAGGAAGCAATAGGAACATTTTATTAGCATTAAAATAAAAACAGGGCAGGCAAGTTCAGTGGCGGTGTGGAGAAGGAAGATGAGAAAGGAAATCATAGCATTTGGCAGCAGCAGATGTGAGAAGGGTTGGGGAAGCAGCTTCAGAGAAGAAGAAAGCCAGAATGTCTGAGAATGCATGTTCAAATCCTGACCAGTTCTCCTCCCCAGCAAAGGCGGGCCTAGCACAGAGCGGGGCTCTGTGAGTGCAGAGGCAGGGATACTGGGGAGGAAATGTAAACTATCTACTTAAGAGATAACCACTCTCCCCATCCCTGTAGCATGGCTTAGAGGGAACCATCCTTTTTAATCCAGAACCAACTGGATTAACCCATATATTTTGAAGAGCTCGCGATGTTAGGTTCCTGTCCAGGCCAGAGAAGGAGCTTTCCCTTGATGGGTGCCACTGAGCCGCCATCATGGCTGCGATGATGTCTCCCTCTTCATTTAGGAAAAGGATTGAAATTGGGGGGTAGATATAACCCATTTTTAACCCTAAAATCTAGGGTCCAGTTCTGAAGCTGCTCACCAGAGGGATTGTGCACGAAGTGGAGTTTGAGTCCCGTGTATGCCTGCTGCCTACTGGGAAGGGCTCCCTGGCCGGAGAAGCCTGTGCTGGAGGTGTTGCTTGCGGAGGTCCTTCCCTGCACGGCCTAGCCTCTCTCCACAGAGAGCAAATGGCACATTGCCTCTGGGAAACAAGTCTTCGGAAGCAAAAATAAGGACGCTAGTACTTTTCCATGGACGTTGACTTTCAACGTTGTTAATAATTGTGGAAAACAACAGCCTAAGTTCTATAAATGTATATGGTAAGCGCTGCAAGAATCGGCTATGAGAAGGACGGCAAGCCCTCCCTGAGGGAGCAACAAATGAGGAAAACGCCCCTCCCAGCCCTGCTCCAAGCTGGACACTGGCTAGCTTGGGTCAGGATGGATAGTCTCTTTCTGAACTCTGTATTAAAACGTAATGGGAAACACGAGGATTTGTAACCATTAAAGGTTATGATATTTAAATCTGTGCTTCATTTCAAAAACTCAAGTCTATGAAGCTCAAGTCTTCCAGGCCCCATAGACACAGTTGCATTGTCACCTTCACTTCTGGGAGAAGCACTTGGCACACGGGGAACAGAACGGAATCATGACACAGCAGACTGCCCAAAGAACACACAGCCTGAAAGGTCTGTCAGCATCTTTTACTGAAGTAATGGAATAGCTGGAGAACTGCCTTTCAGAGCGGAAGCTTGGGCCAAAAAAGGAAGAAGAGTAACTTGAGGTAAAACTTGGAAATAGGCAAGTAAGCTCTCAATATGAAGTCACTCAGAGCATCTGATGATGTTTCACTGGCACAGAGTGCACCACACGAACACCTGCGTTCTGTTTCCCGGGCACGGGGGATGGGGAGAAGCCCTAAGCAGGTGCCAAAGTCCTCCCCTAAACTGTGCCGCCAGCTTGCGTGGCCCAGCAGAGGCCTTTTCTTGCTGCAGGATGAGCTTTTCGGAAAGTTTCTAGAAGATCCTTGTTGCAGATTGCCAATGAAGCTTTTTGCATCCACTGGATAGTCTGTGATTATTTAAAAAAAGTGTAGTGAGAGCAGAAAGGGGTTATTGCAAATGTGAGAGACTTTCTTTCTTCTTGAATTGCCTGTAGCTGAGAAATGGAGGTGTATTTGAAGTGTTTCCCCCAAAATGTTATTCAAGTAAATGCGAGGTTAAGGGGACTTATAAAACAGTATGAAGGAAATTCACGAGAGAAAGAGAGAGAGAGAGAGAGAGAGAGAGAGAGAGAGAGCTGGTGGCCATGCCATTAATCTCAGCACTCAATTCTGAGTTCCAGGCCAGCCTGGTCAACATGGCAAGTTCCAGGACAGCCAGAGATACATGGAGGAATCTGTCTTGATAAACAGAGAGAGAGAGAGAGAGAGACTATTTGCCTGTGGCCAGCCTGTCTTAAGGCCACCTGAAGGCCAGTCTCAGCAGAGATCCAGACAATCTGCCAAAGGTGAACAACCAGCAGGTCAGACAGCATTTCTGAGAGGTAGGGGAATATCCCAGCAAGAGAGGCCAGGTGAACACCTCACGGTAGGAATTCTGCACCTACAGGGAAGGGAGAAACTATGTTAAAACATAAGCAGTCCAGATTAACCTCCTGGAAGCCTGCCTCCCCCGGATTTGCATCAGAACTGGAACGCAGGAACAATTCTTTTCTCTCTCAAAAGTTGTAATTTTTATTTATTGTGTTGTGCGCCACGGCACACATCCAGAGGGCAAATTACTGCAGTCATGCTTCCTTCCATCGTGTGGGGCCCGGCGACGCGCTCGGGCCCTTACCCTCTCAGTCATCTTCCATGCCCGTGGGACAATTTTTTCCTCTACCTCAATGAGTTCTCAAGTTTTGGCCAACTAGGTCTTCACCTGTATTACAGTCATCAAATACCTTATGAAGGAAGAGTGATTTCCTTCAGTGATGCTGGCGGTTGGCTTTCCACCCACGCCTGCTTCAGGCTGCTTCATGCTGCTTCATGCTGAAGGTCCTATGGTCAAGGACACTTCAGAGCTGCTGTCGAGGGCGGCTGAGGAACTGGGTGCTGAATCATTAATTTCACGTGTCCCATTAGGCCCAAATCACCAAAGTCAAGTAACTAACGTTTCACATTTTTTGTTTTGTTTTTTTGGAAATACGCTTTTATTGTGGGTTAGACACCGCTCAAGAAAAGATGTTCTTCTGCACGATGGGTGTTTGCTAGTCCAGATCTGTGAGAAGCTCTGATTGAACACGCGTGAGCGTGGGGAAGGGCATAAGGCTGCGCATCCTCAGTGATGGGATTCACGCCTGGCAACTGGCAAGCTCTCCACAAATATTCGATTCCATCAAACCAATAACTTCCAGTCACGTATTCATTTAAAGTTATTGGAGCTAACGTGTCCGCGAAGCTGCGATAGAGAGCGTGGAAGATTTTTTCCCACAAAGGATCTTTTATTTCAATAATGCATCATCAGCCGTTCATAAAAAGCGGGTATCGCGTTCAAGCCTGGCGCTGTTTTGTATTTCTGCCCCAGCTTGGCCTGGGCTCCTTCCCGGGAGGCGGGATACGGACGTGCTCGTTGCCCTTGAGTCTCCTTCCTTTGTGGTTTTTTTTTTTTTTTTTTTTTTTTTTTTTTTTTGGCTTGCGCGGGTACGCGGCCCCCGCGGTTGCGGAGCGCGCGGCGCGGCCACGCCCGAGAGCGCGCGGCCTGGGACCGGGAGCCGCTGCGGGCGGGGCACCGCCCTCCTCCTCCGCCGCGTCTCCCTCCCGGTGGCGGCGGTGTCCCGGGGGACGCGGGCGCCGTCCTGGGGTGCAGGCCCCGCCCGGCGGCGCAGGGCGCGGGTGCCCGCGGGCGC